CTGTCATGATTTTTCTTCTCAATGCGAAGAAAATTCTGCAAAAACTTCAAGAAATAATGTCAATTTGCTCTCCTCTAAAAAAAGGACGTAGAGGCGGAGATTTTCAGACACCGCCAACGAGTTATGTGATTGCCGACTTTCACCGTCAATACACAATAAATCAGTGTGTTCTTATTCATGTTTACACAAAATTAGACCGCTTGAAGTATTTTTTAATTTTTCTTCAAAATCAAAGCATTCGGATAGTTTTCAGCGGAAAGTGTGCTCTTCTCATGACTTTCATTCATTATAATTATTTTGAACTTATTTTTAAGATAAGGCACCGCACCTAGAGCATGGACCAAGAGAATAAATAAGGACTCCCAACTCCCTATGCTAACCTGTGTTAAAAACCGTTAACGCGCGCTCGCAGCGAACCTGGCAGAGGGTGCGGTGAACTAACGCCACAGCGGTCCACGATCGTACCTCTATAGTATGTTATTCCATGCAATGTTCTTTGTTTATCTATGATTAATTTATTTGTGTAGATACTTTAATACATTTTACTTTCGCAAACTAATGAAATTGTATAGATACATACCTTCTGCAGAGGTCAATGCGAAAGACTTTGATTTGAAGTATCTTATCAAAACACGAGCAAAGATGATTCAGTCAACTTCTGACGCAGAATCAAAGAGACTTGCTAATAATCAAATTAAAGGTAATGCTTGAAGTCAAGTATCTTTGATTTTGTGACACTCAGTTGATTTTTATCAGTACAACACTATTTCTCACTAAAAAGATTTCACTTAACAGAGAGGCGCCTTCGGCTAAAAGTACAATCCTGATTCCTGATGCACACTACATACACACTTCCTTTGGCTTTCTCAACAGCAGTTGCTGCTGAGTAAAACGGTTAGAAATAACACTTCACGTTAATACCAGTTTATGTACACGAAGACTGACGAAGATTGAAATGAAAATGGGAAACTTTTCACACTAAACTCTTCAAAACTGCAGGGCGACCACGAGGATACGAGGATCTAGAAACTTCTATGAGCACTACTGAGTGATAAGCCTAAATAGGTGGTGCATGGAGATATAAACAGGAAGACCCAATCATCGGTTTAGTTCTCTACACCCTCTGCCAGGGAGCGCTGATGTCAGCGCTAACCGGAGTTGGGGGTCCTTATTTATTCTCTTGGTCCATGCCTAGAGTCCCTTTATACCGAGAGTCAAGACAATTTGAATCCATTTCTGATTGGTTCCCGTATTTTAGGCCTCCACAGTGTCACAAACGGGAATAAAGATTACATTTTCACCAATTGCAAAGATTATAATCTGGAATGGAGCAGGGAATTACGGGTTCGGCAAGGAACAAACGGAATGAGAGGAGGAACGGAGAAAGGCATTTGAGAATGGGCCGATCAAAGATTACGAAAAACGTTCAATTTCTGTAATCTTTATTCCCGTTTGTGACATCCATGAGCCGAATTGTCTTGACTCTCAGTATAAAGGGACTCTAACCGCACCGAACGTCGACGCGATCTGAAAAAAAGCTAACGCCGCGAATTCGAATTATCGCGGGCACGCACCGCTTGGAGCGCCTTCAACGGCGTAGATATGCTTTAAACGTTACACTGATGAGGTGATGTGCAAATTGCCTATGCCGCGCCTGTCGGAGTATACACCGTGTTTTGCGGTGTACACCGTTCACCCGCGATATTTTTTTCGCAGGATCGTGAATATTCTGCAGCCCTGTTGCTGTCATGAATGGGTTTGACGTTTCGAATAACACATTTTGTCTAAAAACTATTCCTAACTAGGGGTATTTAAGTGCTGTACATACAAAACAGCCCTCAAATATATTAAATATATATGCTGGGTTTATAGCGAGGCCGCAAGGGGCTTTGGAACCGTCATGTCAGCGACGATTCTTCCAAGTCGGCAATATTGTTTTTTCTCCATTTAATTGTATGTTAAACAATCGATTCTGGGCGAGACAGCCTGTTTTTGCTAGAATCGATATATTCAATGGATTCAAATAGAATATCAAAAGTGTTGCCAAATGGAGATTTCATGCAACTTTTTTATTGCTTCATCTGAAAGTGCTTAAAGAGCTGATTTTACAATATGTTTTATAATTTTTTTCTGATATGGGAAACAGTATAAAAATAGATTTAAAAGTGAGAAAATGTGCCGCCTTATCACGTCATCTGGCGGCACTTCCCATTTAAATACATGCATTTTAGCAAATTAGATCATTTTGTCATATCATCTCCAACAATCATTCAATTCATGAACCAACACTGAATTAAAAACACATTGGATCTAGAGTCCAGACTCTTGAAAACATCGACTAGAAAAGATACTCTTGATTCAATCAGATTTAAGCTTAAATCAAAAGGAAATCCGCTCAAATTAAGAGGCTTGGTTCTTGATTTAAGCTTAAATCTGATTGAATCAAGAGTATCTTTTCTTGTCGATGTTTTTCAGAGTCTGGACTCCAGATTATTTTCCAGTGAAGGGTATCCTCGTGTTCAGTTCACTCAGAAGTTTCCACTTAAACACGAAATTCATCAAATTTCGGACACATGCAAATTCTCTATTGCCATAATCGTTGATGTTCTTTACCATTGCTTCAAATGGACCACTAGACAAGGTACGAATTTAAGCAATCTGATATATGTTTCCTAACCAGAATTTCACGTAGAACACGATTCTTACAACGAAAATTACTGAAACCAACTCCTAACAAAGACATTAACGTTTTTATTTCACATTGACTACAAGGAATTTGAGCTGCCCGCTGACAAGAAACTCAAAGCTCTACATGAGTCAAATCGCGCACTACAACGGTTTCAACAATAAGCTTCTCAATCGAGTAATGTTCATTTCCCACCATGTGTTGTTCAAACCATAAGCTATTTGCTACAGCTGAGCCAAAGCGTCAAGATTGAGGTTGCCAGATTTTCACATCGCAGAGACTGTCATGATAACGTTTAGCGCGCGATGTGAATCACGTAGAGCATTGAGTTTTCATGAGCGGGTAGTTTGAATTCACACACCAAGAATAATTAAATATCTTCGTAAGGAGTTGATATCGGTAATTTTCGTTGTGCGCATCGTGTTTTACGTAAAATTTTGGTTAAGAAACATGTATCAGAATGCTGAAATTCGTACCTTGTCTAGTGGTCAATTGGATATTATCGATAGCCGACGATTCACGCTTCGCTGCTGATCATGGCGGTCGCTCCATTCCGAAGTCAGTCAATCGGAAAGGGACGGATGAAACCAGCGTTGCCGCAAGTCGATGAAAAAATCCGCCGTTTCGCAACTGGTGCTATACCTTTCAGGCATTCTTTTATTCAGCGTGATAATGGCGTGTGGCCTGGTCCATACCTCCTCGGCATATCGGCGGGTAATGAGCATTCGCTAGAGCCCGTAATCCCGCGATCTCCACGGAAAGCATTCGCAATTTCAGTAGCTTTTCCCGATTCGAGCTGCCGCTCGCACACGGGAAAAAATTGAATGTTGATTTAGCGTTCATACTGTTGGAAAAATATGCGACAAGTATTAGATGCTGATTTTACATTTAAAAAATGCTAACTCAACATTGAATTTGTTCATTTAAGCGTGGACGTAGTTAACATACGTAGAGTACATATTGCGCCGAGTCTCGGTCAAATTTTCGTTATGTTCGATCCAAAATGGCGGTGTGGGATACGTTATAATGCCTATCTTCTTTGTTTACATCAGATGGCCGGGTACCGGCTTTCTCAGAAATTTTTCACAATTTTAAAGCATCTAACATGTAGTTTGAGTCAATTTTGTCATGAATAATTACCAAATATAAGCGCGCGTCCTTCCTCCTTTTCTCCGTTCCTTCCTTCTCTCTTTCTTTCTCCCTTGCTTTCTGTCTTTCCTTTTTTTCCTCCTGTTCTCGGGCGAACGGGGGGGGGGGGCACCTCCTGTGCCCCCTCCCCCTATATCCGCCTCGGATCCTACCGCATGGTGTCTAGAACGGGAAAATCCGGGATTCATCAGGGAATGAAAATTTACAAGGAAAATTAGGGAAAAAATCAGGGGGGTGTTCCAGAAACCGAGACAATCTCTTCTTTTACCGCTTAAGGATGATTTTGATTTCAAAGTTGGCGGTCCAATCTGGCCGAGCGCTATTATTGACTTCTTGAATGACACATTCGAAGCTTCAAATCATCAAAAGAATGGAGGAGCTTTCATTGACCAGATAACATAAACATCAGGAACGCTATCAGATTTGAAATTTTGAATGTGTGCTAAAGAAATGGCTGAAAGATGAATCACAACCTGAATTCATTTATGGAACTCTGGATGGTTATATTCTTTTCCCCCAGAAAATCCCGGAAAAGTGGGAGAAAACTTCGGGTTTTTTTTTTTTTTTTTTTTTTTTATCAGGGAATGAGCTCCTGAAAATCGGGGAAAAATCAGGGAAAGAGCCTGATCAAAAACTCTAGACATCATGCACTGGTAAAAAAACCTCTTGGACCAATGCCGCGGTGCATTGACTTAAGAGTGCAGTCTTGTCGCCGGATTTAAGAGTCTTGAACTCTTGTTTCAAGCGGATTTTGCATTGATTCAATTCAAAATCCGCTTGAAACAAGAGTCCACACTCTCAAATCCGGCGACAAGAAACTGCATTCTTGAACCAAGAGGTTTTTTTTACCAGTGTGCCTACCGGAATGCATTAATTGTGCATACACGGAAAAAAATTAAATGTTGATTTAGCATTTATACTGTTAAAAAGATGTCCGACAAGTTTCAAATGCTGATTTTACATTTTAACAAATGCTATCGTAACTACGCCCACTGCAAAATGAACAAATTTAAATGTTATGTTAGCATTTTTGTAATGTAAAATCAGCATTTGAAACTTGTCGGACATCTTTTTAACAGTATAAATGCTAAATCAACATTTAATTTTTTTCCGTGTACTCATTAGAATGACTGTACTTAATTTTTCCTTTTTTTCTGTTGTGTAGGAGTGCGGAAGGAGTAGTGCGTTGGAGGGCGGCCGCTCTGGAAATCAGGGCGCGATGAGAGCGTGCGACGGCCCCGGCCCGCGGGCGCCCCTCCCGTCGGCGGGGAGGCGGGGGAGGCGGCGGTGGGCGGCCCTGGGGGTGTGGGCCCTCGTGGCCGTAGCCTGCGCCCTCCTCGAGAGCCAGACGGGGGCCCAGGACACGGGCGCCCCCGCCCCGACCACCCTCCCCACCGTGAGGCCCACCGCCGCGCCCACCTCGAGGGGCCCCGCCGGCAAGCCCACCCGGGCCCCTCGCTCCAAATCGGTGAGTTCTTCTACTCTAACCCAGATGAAATCACTAATGTTGCTCAGGGTGTCTTAAAGTCCGGAATTCCCGGAAAAGTAGGGTTTAGAACTGACCGAAAGTGGATGTTGGTACGGGGGCGCTGAAAATGCACCCGCCTGGGCGCTTGAAAACGTGAAAGAGCCCCCAAAAATGTGGAAGGAGGGGACATTTTGAAGGGTAAAAAGTAATGGTGGGGAAATTTTGTGGAAAACCAATGAGAAAAATTTGGAAAGCCGGCCGGCGGGCGCGTGAAATTGCGGAAGCGTGGAAGATTCTGCACCCCTGCACTGGAAAAAAAACACATTGGATCTAGAGTCCAGACTCTAGGAAACATCGACAAGAAAAAATACTCTTGATTCAATCGGATTTTTGCTTGAATCAAAACGAAATCCGCTTGAATTAAGAGACTTGGTTCTTGATTTAAGCTAGATTCTGATTGAATCAAGAGTACTTTTTCTTGTCGATGTTTTTAAGAGTCAGGGCTCTAGATCCAATGTGTTTTTTTTTCAGTGAAGTCCGGAAATAGTACTGATTTTTTAAGAGCGGACCGGAAGTACTAACAAAGAGCGGAAATTCCGCAAATCGGTCCGGAATTTTTTGGATTTTTTGTCATTTTTGTCGCAATCTGAGCGGGAAATTCAAATTTTTTAAATTTTTCAAATTTCGTCAATTGGAGGTACTGACAAAGTACTGAATTTTTCTGTTGAGGAGGTACTGAATTTCTTGGGAATGTACTGAAAATGTACTGTTAAAGTACTGATTTTTGGCCAGCCTGTTTTAGTAGACACCCTGGTTGCTACAATAGCACAACTGAGTGGCTTGGAGGACAAGGTGCATAAGTGCAGTTTTGCTATTTCGAGAAATGCGTGTTTGTAGTTTAGAAATTACATGGATACTTAAGGCGAGAAGAGGGGTTCAAACTGACTTTTTGATGCTCAAAAATAGGAATTTGGGAGCGAATTTTTCACAGCCTATGCATAAAGATTGGTTTTACTTGAAATCATTAATAACTCAATTTTTTCAAAAAGTGCACTCGTACGCCTTGTCCTCCAAGCCCCTCAATTAGACTTACTAGTAAAAAAACGAGACATTTGAAAACCGGAAGTGTTCAACTTGTTTTTTCCGGGACGAAGGAACGTAACTCCATTCCAAGGTTGCAAAATTGACTCAAATAATTCAATGTTTCACAAGAATGTCCCTGTACAATTTTTCCCCAACATTTTTATGATTTTTGCATGAGGTCAGAAGAGAAATCAGGAAACCTTCCAGTTTGAAATTCCTAAGATATTCCTAGTAAAATGGCAATTTGCAGGGAGAAATTTGGCAACTTTGAAGTATACTTAAGTTATTCCTTGAAGGAAACTACGAACTGACGTTGTTTCAGACAAAACAGCCGTAAGGAACATTATACCTCCAGATAGTGGATAGCCAATGAGAGCAGTACTTTTAAGTAAAATGGCGCCCTTTTTTGCCCAGTTTGTAAAAAACGCAAACGACGAAAGCATGCAGAAGATAACACTTACGGCTATCTTGCCCAACAGTATAGCCTAACATGATATTGAAAAAGACCCTTTTTACACAGTCGAAATTAAAATTCGTAGATTTTTCAACATCCGAAAGATTCCCAGAGTCTTTCGGATGATTAAAGCCATTATTTACAAGCCTTGAATCTTCAACATCGAGTTTTGTTCAAAATTCATCCGATCTGATTCAGATAAAAGCGCACTGATGCCGCTAAAACAGCAAAATTTGTCCTCTCTGTATAAAAACGAGACATACCGACAGTAAGTCCGCAATCGCGTATCTCGTTTGCGGTGTTTGAAAGTCTCCGCTCCTATTTTGTCATGGGAACGGAGTTCCCCATGATATTACAATCGTTCCGTTGCTTTCGCAATGGGATTCCCTATACCTCTGCGACCTTGAGCGTTTCGCCCAGTCTCCGATTTTTGGTTGATTTTCCGATGTATCAAAAACCGTTGTATTTTTTAGCCAATCATGTCTCTACGTCAAGTTGTGTTGATTGCTAAAATTCGCTTTCAGCGAGTTTTTTTCCACCTTGAAATGTCATGTCTGACTGGTAAATCTGCGCAGAACCACGAAGTTCCGTTTTTAGGCAAATTCTTTTTTTTGGGAGGTTTTCATTGGCTATTTTTCGCCATCAGTTTTCTGTTCGTTGGTGCAAAAGATCGCCTACCTCGTTGCTCTTGAGAAGCCGCCATTATCCCACCTCAAATTTTAAACATAGATGTAAAGAAATAATAACCATCGTACAAGGTGGAAAATTGCTCTGGAGGACCCGTTACGGATATATGAGCCAAAATCAGAACTCGATTGATGGATTTAATCCATGAACACAGAAATATTGCCTCAGCTTACTGCCGCGATCGCAAATGCAAAATGAGATGAACCTTATGACACATGACCGCATAGGTAAACAATGTCTCACAGAGTAATGCGCTTGATCCATTTGTCTCTTATCACGCCAGTGGCCGAACCGTTGAAATCTCAAGGACGTCTTTTGTGAAGCCCCGCTCAGCGTCCGAGATCACTTAACTGTTCTCTTTTTCTCCTCCTATTTCCGAGCCGTGAGATAGCTCAGTCAACTACAACACCGTTCTGATTCTGGGAGAGTGTCACTTTTTGTGGGAGCGGGGGTTCGAATCTCGTAGAGGACAGCTAATTTTTACTGGTTGTATTGAATGTTTTAGACCAATAATCTAACAATAATTAATACTTGGCAACTTAGGAAGCACATAGGTCCCTTATGATGCGTATTTGGGCATATGTGTAGAGTAAAAATATCATACGTAGGGTGTCCCAAAAGTACCGGGACTGGTTCTGTAACTTCAAAAGTAAGAGATGCAGACATGATTTTGGTCTCATTTTAAAGATCAACTCAATACCTATCGATTAAAACCAAGATCAGCTCAATCGAATAAAAATTGACCGAGTTATGACAATTTGAAATTAGTGAGGAAAGTTTACCCCTACGGTTTTTAGGAAGATTTTTCGCTTACCAGAATTCAAAAAGTTAATATTCGTATCCACTTTCCTCCAAATCTTCCATAACTTCCTTTTGCTTTTCAAAGTACCGTCCATCAAACCGGATGCACTTTTTCATGCGCTCTTGCCACTTATCCAACATTGTTTTCCTGAATTCTTCCTCTGGGATGGAGTTGAAGAAGTTTTGAATTGCATTCTGGATTTTTGTCTTCGATACGAATCTTCGTCCGCGAAAGCTCCTTTTTAAGCGCAGGAAACATCCAAAAATCACATGGAGCCAAGTCAGGGCTATAAGGGGGATGAGGGATTGTTTCAACTCCATTTTTACTCATAAATTCACGTGTTAAGCTCGATGTGTGAGGCCGCGCATTGTCTTGATGGAGTATCCACGAAGCTTTCAAGTCCGACCGTTTCCGGGAAATGTGCATTCTCAACTCCTTTAGTACTTTGCAATAATACGCACTGTCAACTGTTGTGTTTGATGGTACAAAATGTTGATAAATGACACCTCGAAAATAAAAAAACACAATAAGCATCACTTTATCGGCCGACTTTTCGATTTACGGCGATGAAGAATCTTCCTTAAAAACCGTAGGCGTAAACTTTCCTCGCTGATTTCAAATTGCCATAACTCGGTCAATTTGTATCCGATTGAGCTGATCTTGGTTTTAATCGATAGGTATTGAGTTGATCTTTAAAATGAAATCAAGGTCATGTCTGTATCTATCTTACTTTCGAAGTTACAGAACAAGTCCCGGTGCTTTTGGGACACCTTATGTACACTTTACGCCGAAAAAGCGAACCTGAAACTTAAATGCGTTAACTTCCGAAAACCATATATAATCCAACGAAAATAAATAATTGGTACATAACAGCTTTCTTGTATGCAAAGAAAATAATTAAAAATGTTAAAAAAGAGATGTCAACACAAAATTACATAGCGCCTTCAATTCAGAAGATACTACAAACGAACTGTACCTTAACATTTTCATATCCCAGAAGCTAACGTTCCCATGACGAATATTGCTATCGCTAGCGATTGCAAAATCCAACTTGTTATTTATTTAAAGGAGAACAAATCGACATCATTCCTTGAAATTTTCGCAGAGTATTCCTCGCACAGAGAAGGAAAGTCAGTGGAGTTTTTAAGAATTCTCTTTGAGTGGTTTTCCATTTAAAAATGGATATGGCAGGAAGTCTCTACAACGTCGCAAACCGACATACGGGGTTGCGGACTTAACCGTCGATACGAGAAAAGCGCGAGTGCGCAAAAATGGATGACCCTCACTGGAGAAAAAACACATTGGATCTAGAGTACAGACTCTTAAAAACACCGACAAGAAAAAATACTATTGATTCAATCAGATTTAAGCTTCAATTAAGAACCAAGCCTCTTAATTTGAGCAGATTTCCTTTTGATTTAAGCTTAAATCTGATTGAATCAAGAGTCCTTTTTCTTGTCAATGTTTTCAAGAGTCCTTTTTCTTGTCAATGTTTTCAAGAGTCTGGACTCTAGATTTAATGTGTTTTTTTTCCAGTGCTGTATGCTCTAAACAGAGACAAAGAGGGACCCTCCACTGGCCTCTTAGCGACAGGTGGAAACAAACTTACGGCTTTCTCATACGTCTCGTTTTCATTAAATTAGGATGAATTTTGCTGTTTTAGCTGTCTCAGTAATTTCATCTCTTAAGAGTTTAGACGAATTTTGAAGAAAACTCGATTTTGAAAATTTTGGTCTTACGGCTCTCTTCGCTACCACGGCAGCACTGCCGATATAAAAATGTAGCAAGGTAGATTTACACAGGTATGGACAAGTTGAAAATTTCCCATGAGCCCCAGTACGTGTCACATGACTACGTGACGTAGGTTAAGGGGCCCGTTTTTTAATTTAATTACAATCAAATTAACATTCAAACGTTTGTGCGTTTAAACGTTAAAATCAATATCGCATTATCAAAATTGTGCAAAAAATCCCACAAAATTTTGACAAACGATAAACCGAACATAATAAATCAAAATAATCAGAACATTCAAAATGGCTGACGTTAAGGGGCCGCTGGAGAGCCAATCAGAGGCCAGTTTTCAAGTTCTGTCCATACCTGTGTAAATCTACCTTGAAAATGTAGGGTCTTTCTCTGTCTGTGGCTCCAGCGAATTCCTTCCGGGTTTCAGACGTCGACGACAACGACCGGGCTCCCGGTGACGGGGAACCGGACGGCCCGACCGGAGATGACGACTGCGACGCCGGGAAAAGCCGGGTCCGGGGACGGGCGGCGGAACTGCACGCCGCCGGCGATCGAGCAGTTCCCGCGGCCGCTCATGGGCCAGAGCGCCCGTCGCCACGGAGGCCTCATCCTCCACATCATCATCTGCGTCTACACCTTCGTCGGCCTGGCCATCGTCTGCGACGACTACTTCGTCACCGCCCTCGACTGCATCTGCGAAGGTGAGGCCCCCGCATTTCCCTTTCAAGCGAACCCAAAGAGACAAAAACAGGGTGTCTAGTATCAGGAAAACCGGAAAATATCAGGAATATTGGCCGATCAGGAAAAAATCAGGAAAATACCAGGAAAATCGGACGTTTTATCAGGAATTTTTCTTACGCAAATCTCCTCAGCGGAGAAAGTCTCAATGTTTTTTGCCTACCGTGCCAGGAGTCGAGAAAAATCAGGAAAATATCAGGAATTTTCAAAATGAAAAACTCAAGAATTTTTTAAATGAAAAACTCAAGAATTTTTTATAAAATATCAGGAAAAATCAGGAAAATATCAGGATTATTCAAAATAAAAAATACCAACCCCCCCCACCCCCCAACTAGACACCCTGAAAAAACGAGTCCGCATCGCTGCCGTGCTAAGGAAAAACGCCGTATGAATAATCGAGAGTTGCCACATTTCCTCTGATAAAATACGAATTTTTTGGGGCAATGGAGATGTTGCATGTGTGAGGAATTTGCAATTTGACTGTTGCTTCTTGTGTAAAAGTTCGCGAGAAACACGATGGTGCCACTGGTTTTCTCTGAAATCAACTCCCAGGCTCAAAAAAAGATCTCAAGTTGAGGCCAAAATGAAGGGGATATCCCACGCTATCCTGAGAGTCCACCTCTACATCAAGACAAACTCTCCACGTAAAGATAGGGAGCAAATACATTAGCAGTGATGCCGTGTTTTCAGTTTTGGAGTCCCCAAATAAAGTGGCAGCCCTGTTAATGTATTTGATCCCTATCTTGGCATGGGAAGTTTGTCTTGATGTAGAGGTGGACTCTCAGGATAACGTGGGATATCCCTTCCATTTTGGCCTCAACTTGAGAGCTTTTTTTGAGCTTGGGAGATGATTTCAGAGAAAACCAGTGGGGCCATCGCGTTTCTCGCGAACTTTTACATAAGAATCAACAATCAAATTGCAAATTCCTTGCACATGCAACATCTCCATTGTAAATATTTTTCTTCCAATTTTTCAAATTATTTTGTTCGTAATTCAATCCAAAATATCTGAAAATTTGAAGGAGAAATATAAATAAAGTTCGTTAAATACATGATTTATCCGGGGAAATTCGGCAACTCTCGAATGTTCATACCGCGTTCTTCCTAAGCACGGTGGATTGAATAGGGAAACAGTCTGACCCCCTGATATTCCCGCGCTTTTTTCTAGCTAATCAAGCACCCGACGACCACTCTTTCATTTCCTATGGAGAGTAGCGCGGAAGATCGAAACTATTTATTTTTTTTTTATTTTTTTTTATTTTTTTTTTCATTTTTTTTCATTTTTTTTTTTTTTTTTTTTTTTTTTTGCATTCAGTCAGTTTAAAATACGTTCACAATTGATTTCTCGAAGATTAAGTTGGCGTTTCGATCGATGTATGATACGTTCCGTTTTCTCAAGAAAACACTACAGATCTTGATTTTGTAAACATTTTAATTTTCTTCCACTCGGGTCGATATTTTGGACCAGAGAACTGAATGGACAGTCAAAAACATTGGCCCGAGTGGAAGACAGTGAGTCAGTTAGCGCAACTGACTGGTCACAGAATCGTATTTTGGTGTACGATTCTTGTGGATTAGGTAAATAAAAAATAAGATCTATCCAAAGAGCAACTCTCTGCGTTCAATATTTACCGAGACATCGCGCTTTGAAAAAATTGGTTCAAGACGTCTTCGATCGCGCTAGTGACTCTCTCGGCTTCTTCCACCTTGCTTTCATTTGGATTGCATTTTGCAAAAAGGAACCAGAAGAATATCAATGATACTAAGATTGTGCATTTTCATCCTTTGCGATGAAATTACTGAAACCATGAGAAAATATGAAATTTACGGGGGAAATTTTTGCCTTAAATTGACAGTTTTTAGCGAGTAAAATAGAGACTGTTAATGGATAATCAGGTTCTCCTTCCAAGACAAACGGAGTTGCTCAATCTTAGCAACATTGCAATGCTCCTGGTTCCTTTTTGCAAGATGCAATCCATTTGTCAGGGAGACAATTGAATCACCGAATACAAGAAGGGCACATGTCCAGAAAACCAAATTGTTCAGGAGACACAAAAAACTGTTTATTTCGTGGTAGATATTTTTTGGAAAGCCATGTTTAAACAAAACCAGCGCGGGGCGAAGCGAAGCGCCGGTTTTTTTAAACATAACGACTTTCCAAAAAGTATCTACCACGAAATAAACAGTTTTTTGTGTCTCCCGAAAAAGTTGGTTTTCTGGACATGTGCCCTTTTTGCATTTAGTGATTCAATTATTTTCAGTCTTCACTGGTTACTCGACATGATACTCGGATGAGAGCAAGATGGAAGAAACAAAGGGTGTCATTACCGCGGTGGATGACGTCATCAACCAAATTTTGCAAAGCACGATATCCCGGTTACGCTTTAGATTCAGTTACACGATCAAAATGAGCCATCAAACCGAAGCTCTGATTGGTGGAAAAACACCTGAGATGAGGATGCGACCAATGAGAGGCCCAATTTGATGGCTCAATTTGATCGAGTAACTTGACCTTTTGTCGTTACGCGTTACCGACATTTTTCGGCATTGCTTTTGCTGCCATTTTTGGCAAGACCACCTGCAGAAGGAGTTGAGACCTAATTGAAAGTCTTGTTTATTAAACATCATAAATGGGTACAGACCTACTGAATGAACGTTTTTTGTGTCAAAAATGGAAGAAGGAAGTTTAAAAACTTTTAGAATAAAATCATAATATCTGGGAAAACTGTCGTAATTTTATTTCCAAGATCTCAATTATTCCTTTTAACGTGAAATCACCCATACAGAATCAAAAGAGCTCACTGGCATAAGTTTAAAAACAGCAGAGATAAGTTTGTCGACTGCATGAAGCTAGGCGCACATGAGATAACTATTCGTGTTCGGAGGATGCGCGGGTTGCGGGTCAACCAAGTTGAAGGAGTTTTATGCGGCCGAGAAGCTACCGCATTGTTTTCTCGCATTTCACGATTGTTTGTTGATTGTTGACATCGTTATCTAAATTGTTATCATATCACCAGAGGTGCTAGCGGGAAAAGCCGGCGTTGGTACGATTATTTATTATTTTTTTCATAAAAATTATATTGTTCCGAAATTTTGTTTTTATTATTTTTCCTAAGTTTCGAATAAGTACACATGTTTCAGGTTTCTTTTTATTCTACATGAGTAATTCTGTTTTGATTGATGAAGAGGTACTTTACTAACGAATATTATATTACTTTACGATTATGTCCGCTCCTTTTCATGGAACAGAAAATGTAATTTTCGAGCCCTGATGAAAATTCTCTTTTTCCAGCCTTAAAACTGCAACCAGACGTCGCAGGAGCAACTTTCATGGCAGCCGGCTCTTCAGCCCCTGAGTTGGCCACTGTTATAATCGGAGTTTTCTTTGCAAAAGATGACATCGGAGTCAGTGGTGTCATCGGCTCGGCAATCTTCAATATCATGTTTGTCATCAGCGTGTGCGCCTTGTTTGCCGGCACTGTATCGTATCTAAACTGGTGGCCGCTCTGCCGTGATTTGATCTTCTACGCTGCCAGCATTTTGATCATGTTGGTCGGTGTCGCTAATGAGAGTGTTACCTGGTAAGAATGTAATTTTTTAATCGAAGGATATTACAGATACGGAAGTTAAATAACATTTTGGAAGGAGATGAGGCGTAAATCATGCTGTGTAAAAACTTACTTCAAGGCTCACTTTCTTAAAATGCCCACCAAACACCAAAACTCATTTTCTTGCCTTTGATATCCAATGTTTATTTGAGTGATATGATCTTATCCACTGTTTTTTGAATGGCAATATTTCCATTTACTTAATTTAACGTTTTGGACAAATCTAATCATTTTATGCTGGCACAGAAACTGCATTAACATTTGGACAAATCTAATCTTTCTTGCTGACATAGATACTGCATTATTAATGTTCGGACAAATCTTATCATTTTTGCTGCCATAGGAACTGCAATCAAATTATTCTAAAACCTCTCTTTTGAATTCAGGCAGAAATATATTGGCAATGAGACTGTGAAAATGCGTGTCTCGATTTACAACACTGCAGACTTCTCATCATAAGTAATACTTACACAATTTATTTTTAAATGGAAGTACATCTGATGCCATTTCTTGAAAACTATGCTGGTTTTATTTCTCTGTGAGAAGAATAATGTGTGAAAATTGCAAGGAATAAGGTGAGGTTGGGTAACTGGGCGGTGGGGTAACTGGGCAGTACCCTCTGTATTTCTACCAGATTAGTGCAAAAATTGTTTTCACTGTTGGCATACCTTCATTATGACGTAAACCATCTAGAACATGTAAACATAACTTCAAAAAAAAATTTTATGGTGAATGGTGAAGTGCCGAAAATTGGACAGCTTTTTTTTCAAAACAACGCCGGAGGTGGTCCCGAAAAGAGCCTCATATCTCACTCCCAGCAAGTATTTTATTCAACTTTGACAATTCTTCTTCATGTATGATGTATTTGTGTAATGCGTGAGTAATTACAACGTAATTGGATGAAAATACTGGCTGCAAAGGGTTGATGCCCAGTTACCTTGAAAATTTTCCCTTTGTGGGGTAACTGGGCACCCACCCCAAGGTAACTGGGCAGGTGGCAGTGGTGGCACCTGCCCAGTTACCCATTGCAAGGTTGCTGTGCTTCGGTGTTTGTTTACTTCTGAAAATGTCAAAACTAATTGACTATTGTGGACTTTTAAGTGCCAAAGACCAATAATCAGGGTTCCCAGCACACTAAACTTCTAACTTAAGTCAATTATAGCATAACTTAAGCATTACTTAATTACATTTTTGCCGCTAACTGTTACGACATCACTTTTAACGACTTAAACATGGTTATATAAATTCAAATGAAATTCTCTGAAACCCTCATGAGAAGGACATTCTTTTCTGGCCAATGAGAATTACAAATAATGCCACCCTTAAAAATTAAGGGAACTTTTTGGCGCCTGACTCTATCCCAGATCAGCCTTGCGGCTTAATTTTTTTTCATTTTTTAAAAATGTATCATGCTTAATCTCACTAAAAGTGGCCAAACAGTGTCCTGGTATACAATACTATACTTTATAAGTAGTAATACAGAAAGTTCTAAGCATTTACCTACAAGGAAACAATTTTTTTTTACCGTTATTCAATTCTCAGATTTGAGGGTTTTTTTGCCGCTAACTGTTACGACATCATTCTTAACCACTTAAACATGTTTATATACATTCAAATGACATTTTCTTAAACCTTCATGAGCAGGACATCACCTTCTGGCCAATGAGAATTAAAAATAATGCCCCCCTCAAAAATTAAGGGGGGGTAGTCCAGTTACCCCACGACGTTGGGTAACTGGGTGAAAAAAACGGGAAATTTTTGAAAATTTGTGGGAAAAAATTGAAAGATGAAATTCGACTTTTGACTCTTCCTACATTTAGACAAGGTGTTGTACTTACTAAAAAAAATTTAAAAGTAGCCTCCACTGTCAATATAATGATGGGAAAAAAATCATGAAGTTGAAATTTTGACATTTTTCTCCGAACTCCTGCCCAGTTACCCAACCTCACCTTAAAGATGGTTCATCTCCCGTGGATGAATTAAATGTGGGTAAATATTTGGAACACTGCAAGTGAGTTATGCGCTTCTGCAGTTTCACCTTTGACAAATAGAAAATTGTATTAATATTATTAAAGTTAAAAGTTATTAAAGATAAATAAAGTTATTAAAGAAAATTTTATTAAATAGTTACTTGATGCTTCAGCTTTAGATTTTATTGTCAAACGAATTAAAATTTCTTTTCTTATAGATATTGAGCATAATGAAAAAGTTCACCTCACAGAATGTGAAACTGAAACTTCGTCATTGCAATCAACTCCTTAATTTTTTAATTTCTGTCCAGATTTGTTTTGATTAAAAGTTTAGGTAAAGCAAACGAAACAATCGGAAATAAGGCTTGTGACGGCGGGTCTCACTCGCGACCTTGTTGTGATCAAAATTGAACAGACAGACAAACATTGGTATCACATATAACAGAAGAAATCGTGCCAAATCGTACATACCTTTTCGCAGGTGTCCTTTTGGACTGTTGCAGAGCCTCGCTTTAGATAAATATCCAGACACTGCAGATGGTGACCCAACCACTCAGTCAGATCACCACTCAGATCAGTTGGTGAAAGAAAGAAATGAAAATTAAATACCAAGACTACATTTTTGGTTTCATCTTTATCAGTATTGAATTTTGATTTTTTTTATGTTTCCTTATTTTGTTCTACCTATTGCGATAATAGCTAGCCAAAATGTATCGGGATTTTCTTCAATGTTGTAAGCCTGGTTTCCCGCTGTTTTGTTTGTTTGTTTGTTTTTCCTCATTGCCCTCGGCTGCTCTGTAAATCTTTTATCTCTTTGATTTTAAGGCTTGAGAGTTTAATCATGCTGCTGATGTATGTGTTCTACTGCTTCTGCCTCTACCACAACACACTCATCGAGGCCTGGGCAAATTCACTGAGCATCACAGCCATCTGCCGAGAAGCCCAACCAGTCAGGGACGAAACATCGCAGTTGTTCAACCAGAAACCACCGGAAGATCCATCGAAACCACCCCAGTCTGGACCATATTATACCAATGAAATGGCAACGGATGAAAATGGTGTGGCTCAACCAACGCCAGCCCAGCCGAGCGTTCAAACTCAGTATCAGCAGCAGCCAGCTTATTATGTACCTAAAGATCATGGACCTGCAGTGAGTTCTTGCAGTTTCTTAACATGACTTTAAGCAGAAAGTTTTTAATGTATTTATTGAAAATACATGACATTTTTTTTTCTTGGATTTTTTTTTTTTTTTTTTTGGACTCACAATCGACTTTTTAAATATGAAGTAAATATTTCTCTTTTATTTTGATATCATGATAATAGTTGAAGTGTTGCATCTTCCTCTATTATTTCATTTCAGCCTTGATCTGTTCCTAAGAAATTGAAGCATTGGTTCCCGACTTTTGCTAGCCGCGGACAATTTATTTACAAAGTGATCACCAACAAAAACTGAGTGCTTGTATTTCTCGTCTCTCCAGCTTTTACTTTCACCGCTGGCAGTTTGGAAAGGGAGAAGGGAGATTTTACATCCTTTCTAATCAGCAACGACTAATATTCTTTTCATTCACAGGAAGTTGAGAATTTTTAAGTTCATTGCTTTGCAATTAGGAACTCCATTTTCTGGCTCATTCTATAAACAGCGTATGTGCCATTATTTTCTCTATACACATCGGTGTATGAACCAAATTTTATAGTTTCTAATTGCAAATTGCAGTCCGTGTCTTGTTTTCCTATTGGTTAAAATTGTATCATTTGGACTGCATTTTGCAGTTTTTGACTGCAATTTTATAGTTTCTAATTGCATATTGCGGTCTATGTCTTGTTTTCCTATAATTGGTTAAAATCGTATCATTTGGACTGCATTTTGCAATTGGAAGCTAAAATTTCTGGCTCATTGGTGAAAGCACGCGTCTGGAGGGAAACTAATGGTATGTTATACGTTGTTTTTAAACTTGAAATTGTAGTTTCTAATTGCAAAACTAAGTCTATTTAATCTTCATCTCTCAGTCTTTCTTACTTAATATCTTATTGGTTTAGTTCATAGCTTACATTTTTTATCTTGTTCTTTATTGTTTTACTATTTCACTCTTTTATCACTACAAAATCTCAATATTATATTTTTTTGGCTTATAGGCCTGCGCTAAATTCTAATGAATAATTCAATTTTTTAATATAAACTCGGCAAATTTTCGACAGGCCTCTGTGAACCACCAATTAAGGACTGTAAATTGAGGCATGAATCTCAAGGTTTAAGAGCTTGTCAATCTTCCCCCCCAGTTCTTATTTTAAATTTGACATTCTGTTTCAGACGAATCCATTGGAAAAACCAACAGACCCTAATCCTCTCGTCCTAGCGCAATGGTACCTGACGTATCCAATTCACTGGATGTGTCGTGCAACTATGCCAGATTGCCGCACTGAAGAGTACAAGAGCTGGTATCCATTCACCTTTACGATCGCTATGATTTGGATCTCGATTTACTCTTACATCATGGTCTGGATGATCACAGTTATCGGTAAACTCTATTTTCTTTCTTGTCAGCAATAGTTAAGATGTAAAATACTAAAACAGAATAAAATATTGTTTTGTAATAGCTGTTTTGGATAAATGCATCTAGAAGTGCACGACCATCCCATTATCACAAGCCTTTCAAGCCTCAAAAGCCTTACTGCTTTCGGTTACGCGGAAAATTCAGGGGGGTTCTAGAAAGTTCTGGAAATAACTACCATTTGTCGCCTTACTACATCTTTCAAAATCTAGTGGAAATTCTAGAAAGTTCTGGAGAGAACATGAGAAGAGTTTCCCTTATCTTCGGCCTTGCAAGAGTAAGTTTCAGAGAGTAGAAGAGCAGATGGAGAAGAGCTGTAGGCCACAACTGCGTCAATTCCTATTATTTTACTGGTATCGAAAGGTGACAGTCCCTAGATGAGCCGCTTCATTCAGTTTTCATTTTGGCCCAGGTGTTTTTTTATCATGTGATCAAGTTGTGGATTCTCCCAGATAAACAGTGTAAATTTTTATTTTTTGTCACAGTTTGTTCGAAAGATCTACCAGGCCGAATATCATAATTTTTGCAGCTATCAATAGGAGATAGACTGTAGATAGGGTCGCTGTATTTAGATTAACTCATGACGGCTCGCAAAGGGGGCTGTAGAATGCGCAAAACATCCTCTGAGGGTGGACACAGCTGCTTGAGAGGGAGGCTCCCTAGTATCCTTAATTGGACTACATTTTGCAATTTGGAACTATAAATTCTAGCCGGGTTTAAAAAATACGTATGTGCCATTAGTTTCTTATGTACGTAAGTGTTTTTCAAGAAGAGCCAGAATTTATAGTTCCAAATTGCAAAATACGGTCCAATTATGTTAGTCAAGTATTCTTAAACCATAGTCATAATTCTTCCTATGTACTTTCTTTTCACAGGCGATACCTTAGGGATTCCTGACACAATGATGGGCCTAACGTTTGTGGCCGCAGGAGTCAGTGTACCTGATGCCTTGTCAAGTTTGGCTGTAGCAAAAGAAGGTGAGTTGATAAATTTTTATGAAGACAGTTTCTTTTACTTTAATGAATCAATTGCTTCGCACTCTCTCCATGAGATCAAACAAAATCTGTTTTTCTTTTATAAAATTTTAGTAAAATCGAGATCACCATATGGACAAAATCTAAAATTCATCTCATAACTAAAAATATGCGTTGGAAACTTTCATATTCTTCAATGGTAATGTGAACTGAGTCAAAAAAATCAGTAATTAGGGTATTTCCGTCTTCAATCGAAAATTTTTCTCTTGGATCTCAAGAGTAAAGTGCAAGAAATAGAATTAATTTTTTCAGTGTAAAGATCTATTTCCCATTTTAATGTGGAGAAGTTTGAGTCTTAAACGTAACACCGTTTCAATTCATTCCAATCTTTCATAATTCCGTTTCATTTTTACTTGATATTTTTCAGGTTACGGTGATATGGCTGTCTCAAATGCAGTTGGTAGTAATGTTTTCGATATCCTGGTCTGCTTAGGCTTACCGTGGTTCCTCCAAACTGCGGTCTTCAAACCTGGCAGCAGAGTCAGGGTGTACAGTAAAGGTAAGCAAACCAGGAAGATTTCAGCAAGAACTGGTTGTATGAGAATGGACCAATAGACAAAGTGCAAATTTATGCATTCCGATAAATGTCTCCTTTCAAAATTTTATGTAGAATACATGGAGCACAGTGAAAATCACGAAGTCGAACTCCCAACCAAGATAATAAGTTTTTCTTTGAACTGGTTACGAAAAATTTGAGTTTCCCACTCACAAGAAAAACCAGAATCTATGCAAATCAAATCGCGCACTGCACCAGTTATGAGAGGCTATTTAGTCATGCAGTGTTACTTCCCTGTGTTGTTCAAAGTGTAAACGATGTGCAATAGCTGAGCTTAAGGGACAAGATTGAGGTTGCTGTATTATCATACCGTCGAAACTGTTATGATAACATTTAGTGTGCGATTTGACTCAAGTAGATTATGGTTTTTTTATGAGAAGGAATCTTATTTCCTTGTGCTACTACAGCTAACAGATTCAACATGTATTTCAAACTATTCAGATGCGTTTAACGCAATTTTTTGGCTATAGGTTTATGATATTTCTTGCAATGTGCGGAAGATTCTTTGGTTTAAAATTGGATTTGGTTTGAGGTTCAATTTCAATTACTCAACTATTCCATTGAGATGAGGAAAACAACTTATGAGCCTTCAGACTTATGAGCCTTCAAACTATTTGATAAAATACTTACTTTTAAGGAAAGTTTGGCATACTATTCCTTGAAATTTTCAGGTCTTTTATATCAAATTGTGAACAAAATTATCTAAAAAACTGCATTACAAATATTCGAAAATTTATTACGAAATTAGTGTTTTGTTTAAGGAGAATTGGCAATGTTTGAGAGTTTATACAACATTTCTCCTTAGTATGACAGTTTTTGTGATAGAAGATTTATAAAACAAATGAATGCATGTTGTAATGAGTTTTTTCCCTCTTCAACTTTCATTACATGCGTGTTGAAAAATGTAAGTACGCATATTTTCTTTAGAAGAGAGGGTTGGAGATATTGCAATGAAAATTTAGAAACTCAAGATCAAGCGCTGTCAACATACTATTTCGAGCATGTTGGTGTTCTCCTCATTTTGTTTCTTCTTCTTTTTAAACAGAAGAATATTTCCTAATAATTTTAATAAGTATTTTCTTAAAAGAATATGAAGGAATCCTTTAAAACAATCATCAAAGTTCAAAATCATCATAAAGTCAAGCTTCCAAAATGGTGCGTTTTTTTCGCTCAGTATTACTAAAGAATCAATCTTTTTCAAATTTTACAGTGTCCCAGTTACGTAGAAATTTGGTGAAAACGTTCATTTTACATCAGAGCTTTTTCAGGAAGATTTTTTTAAAATGCTACAGCTTTGATGAACTCAAATTTAGCCATCTTTGTTGAAAGCAAAATATTTTACCATGCGTTTCAATTCACCATCATTATTGACTTATTATAAATATATATTAAAAATGTACTAGGTTCTTATGAAAACCTAGGGAGAACGTCCACCGACCGCTTTGCGGTCCAACCTTCTAAAACATCTCGCGGCTTAGATATTATGCATTACGCATTATTCTTATGATTTTATATTATAAATATAAAATATAATAATTGGACAAAAAGATGTGCTGCTTTCAATATAGTTAAGTGCTAATTTTTTCTTGCCGTTTGCTTCTTACTTGAAACTTTGGAAAAATGATAGCTCTTAGCAGCAATTCTAGCAGATCGGCAGCATTTGGTTTCTTTTGTTTAAATTTGTATAAAAGACGGATTTAGAGAAAAGTCAGTGTTGCTCACTCTCAAAAATAGTCTTTAGTGGCTCATGTAATACTTTTTGCCGCCTCAACAATTCTTGACCTCCATTCGAGAGAGAAAAGTAATAAAAAAAAGAGACTGATTAATGAAAAATACAGAGAATGGAAGTAACTATACGTAACATGCATAATTTTTTTTTTTGTCTAGCAAAAAAGGCAGGAAAGGAAAGGCTATAATTTTAAAGTCCTGAAAGCTAGTTCATTAGTGGTCTGTAAAATTTTAGGGTAACTGTTGTTTTTTAATGTTACACTGAAACAACTACCATAAAATGCATTTTTCATTGCGTTCCATAAATTTTTTTTTTTTTTGCCCTTGAAGATTTTTTTTCTATGGAAATATTGAATCAAAAGACAGTGAGCTGGCGCATAAGTACTGAAATTGAAAAGCGCAAAAAATCATTGTTAAATATTGGAGCTCATATTGCTACATTTTTATGGATCTAGACTTGTATCAGGCTAGGGATGCACCATTTTCAGAACTGAAAATTATTGAACATGAGCAGCAAGTGGCCTGAAGCATCTGCGTTACTAAAATTATTCATAATGCAACCGAGAAATGTGGTTACCCAAAAATGTTTAAGGTTTTAAAAAATTTAGAAAAATACATAAGTTATGAAACATTGCCAGCTTGTGGACATTATTGTGAAAACAGACAGATTTTTAAAAGTAACAAAAACTGAATAATGGTCTGTTGAATTGTTCCGTGAAATTTCCTGATTATTTTCTTCACAATAAGTTAGGAAAAACAATAAAAAAATTCGTATAAACTTATTTTCTCCTACTAATAATGAATTGATTGCTTGTTTTGTTCTTGGCAGGTCTGACTTACTCAACACTGTCCCTATTTTCTACAGTCGTTTTCCTAATTTTAGCTACGCACTACAACGGCTGGAAATTGGACAAAAAGTTTGGCATCATCCTCATGGTGTGGTATGCCGTATTCATATCCTTCGCTAGTCTTTACGAATTGAACGTGTTTGGCGTCATGAATCCTCCGCAGTGTTTAAGTGACTATTAGACTCATGTAAAACAACAAGGAAAACTTACTTTTTAAGACACTCTAGTCGAAACGAAACAAAGTCCATTTATTTGACGCTACAGTATTTGTAGTCTTGTGCATGGGTCAGTTTTGAAATCTCTCAACAGGAAACTCCTGAACAGGACAGAAAATAGAATGATAAATTTGACTGAAAGCCTGTCCAGATAAATATGTGCTCCAAAGGTCGTAGAATAAATATTTTATTACTGCATAAGTTTAATGAAATGGCATGCAAAAGTTGTCTCAGCGAGTCCATCGCAACTTGTGCCTTCAAATCAGATAGCCTGAATCAGAATCAGCCAAACAGCATCCCTTGTTGCCTAATTTCATCAGGTGTTTTATCTTTTACAATAAAAAATGGACGACAATTCTCACTAAATATTCTATTATCATATACTCTATAATATAGGGTACATTCACAGAAATTTTTAGGGCATTGTATCACTCACCTTTCTGCTTAAAAAAATGGGACATTGGAGAAAATTAGGAAATCTGACAGGCAAAGGGGGAACTTTGTGTGAGTCTTCGGATGTCGCTAGATTTTTTTTTTATTAAATATGAATTTTCTGAAAAACTTGCAAATTTTTCCCTCTAATTTTTCAGAGTATTTTATATGCAATTCCATCTGAAATATCTGAAAATTTAGAGGAGAAATGCTCATTTCTCTCCTTAAAAATAATTCTTCGATCAGGGGCAATTCAGCAACATTCAAATGTTTATGTGGTGTACTTCCTCAATTCGGTAAAAATAATGATAGGCTAATTGTAGTTGATGCTGTTCAAGAATTAGTGCGCAGTTGTACAGTAATATTAATGCAATCTTCCAGATTAATTCAGACCTTTCTTCGCATGAACTTCAAAACGTACAGATAATCAGATAATGCCAAATCTGAGTGTAAAATTCTAGAAATTGCACAATACATTGCCTTTTATTGTACGAAGAACTTAACTAACCCCGGTTGAAACCATAATTAATGGATTTTCCGACTTTACCATTATTGTCTTTGTAGCTTTTTGTTGCGGAAAAATATCCGGAAATATTTCCTTTTTTAGTGGTATCAACATCTACATTGTGAGTTTTTTAGTATCAAAGCTTTTTTTTTTTTGGTGGAAAAAGTTATATTTTATTTCAAACTCAAATTTTTTTAATTGTGCTCTCGAGTCTAGACAAGCTTCGAGAGGTCCTGAAACCCCTCTAAGCTAAGGAGAGCACCAAAGTGAGGACTCAATGTAATAAGCTATCTGAAGTCTCTTCAATGTTTTTTTTCTACAGAAAGGAAAGTAAGAAGTAGGAAAGTTCCGTCTTTGAACTCTATGTGCGCACATTAGCTGTCCACAGCCACAGTTTTCCAACCATATTTTTTCTGAGGATTTCACTCTGACCCGTGCATTCAACTTGCAAGACTGCACCTGAAAATTTTCTAAGTTAGAACTGCACAATTTTTAGATTACTGTAAGTGTACCTGAATGATTGAGAGATCCATTCAATGTTGAGCCTACTCCCAGCTTGGTTCTTCCCCTCTTATTTTATATGTGAATTGGATTAACGCTGTTTTTCGCTCTGAGCTTGTCCTTCATTTGGTCATCAATCGCTTTTTCATGCTAAAAGTCTGATTTTTACTATCTCTCAGTCACCAACTAGCCTCTTGGGCCTGAAAAAAAGATTAAAAATTTGTAAGTGGCTCAGGGGTTTTTATTTTAAAATTGTCAACGTTGCACTGCTAATCTTCACTTTTACTCATTTTAACGATAAATAAGTCTCTGTGAAGTATATGTCTGTTGATTCCTGTGACATTTGAAAGTGGTAAAGATGACCCTTGTATCATTAATTATCCATCAATATCGATTTCTGTCTTGATTGATCTAGCTAAATTGGCCTGATTATTTAGATGAAGTTTACAAAAACTTCAGAAAAAGTAATTTTCCCTGTAATGTTCCCTCTAAAACCATGCAATCAGACACCCTGTTATGGCAAGGATCCAATTCAATATTTTATCAGCACGTCCCTCAAAGTTACGCTTTTATTGGACGTTTGCTAGCCACTCTTTCTTTGATAATCACAATCATTAGATCTGAATGCTTAGCGTATGAAGGCCAAGTAAAGGATGGGCTCGAAAAAGAGGTGAGAAATCCTGCAAAAATCTATATTGTTGACTTTCATGTGAAGTGTTTTCATAAAACCATAGTTTGCTAAGTTTTTGGTTCGCCATTTTATTTTATTTCGATGTTTACAACATTAGAAAACTGTGTCCTAGTCATCCTCTAAAAGGAGACATTTTTATCTTTTAAAATGTACTATGTCTCTTTTTCCTGGCTCCTATTTGTTTGAATCAGGTAGGATCAGTCACTGGAAAAAGGCCCTTTACTGACAGAAAATGGAAAATGAGAGTTTGTCTATACTACTTGAAGATAATTGCGGCAATCTAAAATGTTATTTGAAGATTATGTAAAATTAATAATTCCAATAATAAATAACACATACACAGATCCAACAGGGCACTCTGGCGCTCCGCAACACCCAAAATATAGACACCAGATATATTGTCAGTTGCCCTTTTGTTGACAGCGCACAGGTATAGGTAATATGATCAGAAAATTTTAGGAAAAATCGACGAAAAAGTGTAATTTTGTCTTTAAATAGTTTACTTTATGGCCCGTTTGACATACAATCCCTCTAGATTATGCTTGAATATCATTGAAATTCTGTTTTTTGAGCCTGCTTGAACTATAAATTTTGCAAGTCAGAGTTAAGGGCCCACATCCAGTAACTGGTCCTTTTTTGTTTTGGTTTTTTTTTGTTTGTTCTTGATTGACTTAGCCCATTTAATTTTTTAAATCTGACCTATAAAATTGAAAAGATTCTGCAGTTTTGTCATCAAGCAAAAGAGAAAGTGGAAAATTTTATCTGCAGGTCTCTCAGATAAAAATCTGATCTCATTCATCGCATTCCTGGTGTATCTCTCTCGTGAATTAAAGTTCCTTTTTTCCCGTTTGTTAATTTTCTTCTTAATTTTAAGGAATACCGACTCTGGAGTGTGTATTACTTCGATCTAGTCAATTTATATTGTAGCAACGGCAGCAATAAATTATTTGCTAGGCGGTTCGTTAAATTATTGCGTAGTCTAAATATTCGAAAAAACTTGGCAATTTTTTCAAATGACATCACAAAGCTAGTCACTATTTTGATGAGGAAATTGTCCTAACACTTCATGAAATTTTCAAATTTGTGTAGAACATGAGAAAATTTTACTGATTCCATTAGTCTCATCTGAACAATTTACAGCTGGTGCCAATTTTACTTGCTCCCGTAAAATAGGAAGTGTCAATTAAAATTCTAGTCTCAAATCCCTCCCTTTCATTGCCCTTAATTCTATAATTTTGTTTTCTGAGCTTATTTTCATGTATCACGTTTTCAACGACAATATAGCTTGTGCTCAAAATTTTTAAATTTCAGTGAACGAAATATATTCCAGGGGTCCAGAAAGTTTGAAAATGACGACCTTTTTTTTGCCATCCATGGATTTTACTTCGTGGTGGAGCCCTGATTTGGCTATTTCCTTTCTCAGCGGAATCAACCATTTCTGGCAGAATTCCCGATTTTTTGGTAAAATGTGCTATTTCTCCCTTTTTTTACATCATTGAACAAAAAAATAAGTCATTGTTTCTGACAATTGCCTCACTCTTGATTGCAAGATCAGGTATTTCCTCCACCCCTGAAATATTAGCGGAATGCGGCCGTGGTAAAGAAAAATCCCACATGAACCCTCAGGTGTTGCCAAATTTCCTTTGACAAAGTACGAATTAAATGAGAAAGTTGTGAATATTTTTCAGACAATTTTGTTTGAAGTATAATCCAAAACATCTGAAGATTTCAAGGAAAAATATGCATAACTTTCTTCCAAAATACTTTGTTTATCAGGGGAAATTTTGTAACATTCATATGCTCTCATGGCATTTTTAATTAGCACGGCAGAATAGCAACATCTTTACAGATGTGTCTTAACAGATAATCGAAAATGAAGTAGTCCTTTCTCTGATGAGAGAGAAGAGCTCTGATTTTTACGTACTTCATCTGTTCGTTCCAGTTGGAATCTAAAAAAATGAAATCACCAACTTATAATTTATAAGTTCAATTAATGTATTTGAAGAAAGGAAAGTACGATGATGTCCTCCGTCATTTTTTACTGTAAGCAAGAATTTGTCAATTTTTTGTTGTTCTTTACCTGTCAATTTTTTAGAAGCCTGATAAGTGTCGATAAGTACCTTTTTTTTGTTAACTTGTTTTTAGTCTCTGATTGGCGAGTTTCTACGCGGAATTTAAGATGATTCCTCTGTACTTTAAAGATCACACCAATAGCCTTTGATAAATTGATAATTTCTGGATTTCCAAACATCACATCTTGCCGTAGTATGTCAGACATTTGCACACCAATTTCGATCAAGAAGCGCTCTCAAATAACTCTTAAAGCACATTCTGAGTGAAAACAGCCAACTGAAAGGCAAAATGATTTGTGATATTCACTCGGAATGTACTTTTGGAGTTAATTCAAAGTGATACTTTTCAAATTTTTTGTACAAATATCTGATACACCACAGTGTGATATGATGCTCAGAAATTCCTGAGAAATGTCTTAAAACCCAGAAATAATCAAACGTCGGATTGACCATTGGATCATTCTTCTAAGTGTTGAAGGACCACCTTAAAGCTTCCCTCAATACAAACGCATTCATACCCAGTTTTGTTAGTGTTTCGTTTAACACAGTTGTTCTCCTCCTTTAAACCACTCACAAACTTGGAAAGCTATCTAGGAGATTTTAGCATGCAGAAAAAGTTCTTCCATTTTAAAACATCATGAAATTTCAAAGGCCATTCCAAAAAGTTTTCATCAACCTCATGTGCGAATCAACAAAAATAGCTAGCTAGTTGCAGTACATAGGGTTTTTAAATCAACCAGACTAAATTTTTCAATCGGAAACTCTTAAACATGAGATTCAAGTACTGAAAGAAATAAACGAAAAAATTACTTTAAAGGAACTTTACATTTGTTCATCTGACAATTCTAAGCTTCCTCTTTCTTCCTCAAAGTACTTTTTTTAGCTCTCACATACAAACGCAAGCGTTTTTCCCTCTTAACCAGAATCATTTTGCTAAAATTCTTGTGTCTGAGAGCCACTCCTGAATGAAATTCAGCTCTTCTTAGCCACTTTTTTCAACCCGAAGAAAAGTTTCTGGGATTTTTGCAACCTATGATTGACGAGGGCTCGTTTTGTAAATGAAGAATGGATCTAAGGAGCCCCTAGTGTTTTTGGTTGGCTCATACATGCAAGAGCACACAGTTTTTGTGGTTCAGTACTTGATTTGACTCCAGTAGACTTTGCTTTTTTGTGAGGCAGAAGTTTAATTTGGAAATGAGTGTGTTATCAGTGTTTTTTATGTAAAACTTTATGAGGAAATGTGTATTGTACTGTACTGTACCCCTTATTTGTTCTCTATCCAGCAATCCATTTCGGTAATTTATTTTCAAAATCGCTGAACTATGTCACACATAATACCTGTCTCATATAAAATAAAATTTTACCACCTTTTTTTTTAAATTTTAATCGTCAGATATTTTGTACCAAGTCTGAATTTGCATTCTTTCCTCCTAATGTATTATAACTCTAATTTATATTTGCATTTACAGCATTCAAGTTTCAAAAATGCTGTAGTTTTCTAGTACTTAAGTTAGATCGAACGAGACCTGATGGAACTTGAGGATGAACTTGCCAAAATACAATTTCGTCAAGGCCGCTCAGCATTTGTATCAGTTCTCGTTCTCCATTGAGGTAAGATCAATCCAAAAAACAAATGACAATAATGCAAGCCTTAACTTTAATTTTTGTAGAAAAATAATTAATATCGTATCGTATCATATATCAAACTTGTTCTGTGCAGTTTTTCAATTTTACTTTTTTTTTCCATCTGTAATTGAGCAAGTGAAATAATTTTTTTTAGAGTCAGGGTGTCTCCTAGTTTGGACATTTTAAGGAGAGCAGTTATGAATCTGGAAGAACTCAATAAGTACTAAAATTTATCAGAATTTTTTGTAATATATTTTGTCGTATCCTGTATGAGGGAACCTCTCTAGATCGTACTGTTTCAGTATTTCTCACTCACATTCTATTCGTTCATAGCTGAACCATTTCATGAATTTTTCTGAAATTTTTATCGATTTTTCTTTATTCTAGTGAGAAAAAACTCTTGACATTTTCAGACTAATTCTTGCAACAGTTTTTCCATGAAAAAGTAAAATGTTTGTAAATATTCTGGAACAACGCAGATGAGGTATATAACCCTTCATCTGGGAGATGACAAACTGTTTGCAACCCTTGACATGAAGGTACTGGAAAGTAATTGATTTATTTTAAGAGCAGGTGCTTCACTTTTGCCGTTTTAGTGAGAAAGATGTGAAAAAGTACTTAATGTTTGTGGAAGGACGTAAGTAGACACCCTGCCAGAATTGAAGTGTATTTTGTTTCAATTAATTTTATAAGGTTGTTTTGTTAACCAATGCTGCTGTTCGTTTTTGACCAATATCATAATATTTGTAGCTTTCCTGTTTTCTAAGCATCCTCGTTTGACAAGCTTATTTCTATCAATGAAATGTGTTTATTGTATCTAACAAAGAGTGCTAACATAGTTTTAAGGTGCTTTAGTCCCTTTAATTTCAGAGTAGAGGCATTGACTTTTCCTATTAATATCTTTCCCTAATTTTTATAAATTTTGTATGATGGAAACATTTTTTCGTCAGTTACTGGTCAACGAAAAAAACTGAAAGTCATCCCAGAAATCTCATTGGACTAGCCGCCCGTACCTGACCTCATACGAGCAGTGGTTGCCGGAACTCGGTTTTCTCCCTGTTTTAAAAGAAGAAAAAGATATTAAATCGTAATGTTTGTGCGGAAAATTTGCTCCCAATTCAAATAAAATCGATTCAACGGTTGTTTGATTCAAAACTTTGCCACTAGCTCTTAATTTTGATGGATTTCTTCTTTGGCTAGTTTCACCGGACAGAAGACTGGAATGAAGATGGAACCTTATGTTCTGAAATATACGAGTGGTTGAAATTAAAAAACGCATTCATTTGATTGCAATGTTGCAAATTTTCACCCATATTTTATTTTCTTACAAGAAAATTAGCCAACGGATTTTCTTGGAATTTCATGTGGTTTTGTATTTTTCATTTAAAATATTCACAGAAAATCGCAAGGAGCCCTTTTGGTCAGGTTTCCTCAAAAAACATGGGAAATAATAAAAAAAAATCTTTCAAAATTTCAGCATAGGTGCTTATTTTTCAACTTCAGCCATTGAAGTATTTTCCGCTGAGTGTTCCTGATTTTATCCTGTTCGAACTAAGAAACTGCAAAAAATAAAATTTCATCTCTCACTCATTCATAAACTTAAGTAAAGTTTTGTAAGAAGCAGTCTTAGAGTATAGCCTCTTAAAAAGAAAAGAACGCTATGCTTCATGTTGTTCGGGTGGGGTGTTGTAGTACCATCCATAATTTTTACATTACGTCTGTGACTTTTTTTAAATATTAATTTAGTAACTTTTAAAAGTCCTACCAGACTTTTGACTTTGAGAGCATCTCCAAAACTATGACAAAAGAAAGTCTAGCAGGAAAGCCAAAATCCTTACTACAGAAATTTGAAAAAATTCCCTGATCTGAAAAATTGGAACTCCTGCAGCAAATATCATTTGAACCATAACAGGAAAAATTCAGTTTAAGTGCTAAATACTAATTCCAACCCTTGGAAATGAGATTTTTGTGTTTATTTTGAATGATAGGGGTCTAGTAAAATTATTGCAGCCTTAAATTGTTTTTACTACATAGAACAATGATTTACTCCTCTTCAGACATATAGAATGGAGTTTTGAATTTTTCGTCAAGTTCAACTGTTCTGCAAGACTTTTGTTAACTCTCTGAATTATCCAAACTTTTGCAGTTCTTTTTTATTGTTTTAAGTTGCAATCTAAACAAAATTTGAAGACATTAAATTGCAGATTCGTTTTTTTAAAAAAAATAAGCGCACCTTTGAGCAAGAAACGTACACATGTTGATAAATTTAACAAACCTGAAGAGCAGCTCTGACCTTCAGAAATCATTTTCTCAGGAAAATCTGGCGTTAAGTGTTGAACATTAAGTGTACCATATTTGATTGTGGTAAGTGTATTCAATGAAAATAAATGTTACCATATTTGTTGAACTGATGTTAATTGCATGTTAGATACTCGTTAAATGTACACTGAAGTTTATTGTCCATCGAATCTATCAAGATTTTGTGTTACTTAAGAATATCATTTGTTATTGATATATTATATGTTACCTACTCATGTATTGTATATCCTGCTCCATCTGTATAAACAAACAGCTTTCCCTTAACTTAAATGATGATACATTCATCTTTGTATTTTGCACTGTGAATTTCATAAGATGAATGGTAATACTACAGCTAGTGGAATGTAGAACGTACAATACAAATAGATGAATCTCAGTTTTCGTCCGTTTTTTTTTTCCTATCTATTCTAAATCGTACCAATTAAGTTGGGCAACTTTAAGAATGCAGTTTTTCAGTCCCATTAGGTCGCACCATTTATTAAGGAAATTATTCATACAGCTCTGCTAAAGCCTTGTCAAGGCAGCGTTACTACGAGCTAATTGTGATTGGGCTTTCTCTCTCTACAATGGGAATATCTACGGTGTAACAACCAGACCACGTATCTTGTAAGCGGAGTGCGCTTAAAAAGCTCTGCTCCCATTTTATTCTTTTGAAGGAGAACAAATCAATATCATTTCTTAAAGTTTTCCCTGAGTTCCCTTCGCGTAGCGATGAAAACTCATAAAAGTCTTCAAGAATTGACATCGAGTAGTTTTACATTTAAAAAATAAAATATGACGGGAAGTCTGCAACATTGCAAACGGAGATATGCTGTCTGATAGTTTCACCATTGATATCAGCTCTGAACTAAAATTTAACGCATGGTGGCAAAATCACCAACACTCTGTCTAAACGTCTGTCTAGAACTGCTATCAGTTCGTACATACATTCAGTTTAATACGTTAATTTGATTCTAGAAGATTTTGTTTTTCGGCAAGTGGAACATATTTGATTCTGTTAGAATTCTCACAGAATCAAATATGTTCCACAAAGTCTTCGGTTAACCGAAGACTTTAGTTCCTCATTAAGGAATTGAATTTAAAAAGTTTGAACACATTCATTGTTTGAAAAGTGGGTGTCGGAACATGTTTAGTGATGCTTAGTTTACCATTCTATCCCCATCTAATGAACCATTTCCATAACCAAGGTATGAAAAATATGCACCTCCATTGCGATGTCTCAAAATTTCCGCTACTATTTTATTTTCTCAATGAGCAACAAGACAACTCGAAAGCTTGAAATTTATACAGAATGTACTGTTAACAAACAGAAAAACCCAGGAGGTCTCCAAGAAATTATGTGGACTAGTTTGTCGAAGATAAAAGAAAGTTGGACAGGAAGTCTACAACATTGCAAACAGGGACACACGGTTTTGCACTGTGGCAACTGATTTTAAAGATCCAAAATTGATAATTCAAGGTTCTTTTTTTGTTAAAACTTGAATTAATCATCTTTAGTTCATTTGTTCTAACCTAGATCTATAGGAAATAAAGTACAGTGAAAGTAAATTTGAGAGATGATTTAAAGTTTGCAGCTCAAAATTGACGGAGATAGAGTTGCCACCTTTATTGGCACCTAATTGAACAATAAGTTCTTATCTTATCCTTTGGGACAATAGAAAGTTTAATTCCCTGAAAACTCTAAGTCCAATTTATCGAAGCATTGTAATAAAGATCGCCTCCTAAAAAATTTACTTCTTTGAATATTCTACGGTTGCGAGGAAATATGCTGTATTAATCTCAGGATATTGCCAAATTTCCTTTGATAAGGTAAAAAAAATTATGAAGACTTGGGGCTTCTTTCCTTTGAATTTGTTACAATCTAATACAGAATATCTGAAAATTTCAAGAAAAAATATTAATAAGGCTTTCCAGAAATAAACGTTTTATCAAGGAAACTCAGACAGTATGCGCCTGCTGATACTTCATTCTTCCTTGACACTGCAATTAGATCTCTTTTTCCAAAAGCTGTCACAATGGATATTTTTTTGCTGAAATTACAATTCCCAACGGAATTGCCAGAAAATGATTCCTAAATTTTCTGTTCCTCATTATTCAATATTTGTGCCATGCTGGCAGGGTCCCCAAAGGTAATCAAATTAAGACCAAAAAACGTCGGTATACCTGACCACTAACTTGCAGTACTGGATAGTAGGAACTTACATATTTTTAGCCCAAAATTTTGAAGGAAATGTAAGAAATGGAGGAGTGGTGACCTGGTCCTCGAAATTAATAATGCTGCACAGATTCCTGTCAACCCCCTCATGCGGATGACTTTCAAAAAATATAAATTTGAAGGCAATAAATTGCAACTGAATACCATAAATTGCAATTTATCACTATCGAATATTTATTTTTGAAAATTCTGTTGTTTGCACAAGCCCCTTGCACCTCAGAAAACTGGAATGAATTATTCTGCAAACTAGTCTAGAGAAAATTGATAACTAAGAGTGTGATGTGGCAGACTTCATCCACAATGAACTTACCTCTGTTGGAGTTTCTGAATGTCTGAAAGTTCCTATTTCATCCTCAACCAAGTTGAAAAATCTTAAAACATATTTTACAATCATCTACTTAACTGAATGTAATTGGTCCTTATTGAGAAAATTCTTTCAATGAGTAAAACTTCATAAAACTTTTATATAGACAGTTCCATCAAATCTCATAACATTTCCTAAGGAGAAAACTTTTATGAGTATTTTTTCGAAAAAATTCATGATAGTAATATATGAGTACAAGAATACTAAGAATGTTAAAGAAAATGATTGAAAAATATCTAGTGATATTAGAAGGCCTAAAACCTAAATATAGGTACCTACTTAAACTTCACAAAAAAAAAAATATAATAATTAACCCGTTAATTTTTACAGTTTTTTTAAAGAGTTTTTGAAAAGTGCTTTACAGCCGTCACTGTGACCAACATCATCACTGACTATGGAACAAAACAGGTCAGTAAATGTGTAAAATAATTTTTTTTTTGTGCAAAACATTTTCAACATTTGCATTGTGCTTAATTACATGAATTGACCTAACCAGGGCCAGTCAGTGTGATAATTGTAAACATGACAGTTGATTTGACCAAAACAATTATTTAAGTATTATAATTGCTCATTGAAAACGGTGTACAAACCCGTTTACTTTTCCTGGTTTTAGTAGAGCCGCAAAAGTGTGGAACACCACGGAACAACTTGAAACCATTATGAGAGCAGGGCCGGATTTGCCCACTTGCCACCCATGGGCCGTCTGTATTTTGCCGCCCCTTTTTCATTCGTTTTGAAATATCAATAAAAACCATCAAGTGAACGTGCCAAAGGGGGAGGAGTGCATGAAACGCGTTTACTCGTATTGGACACATTTTTTGCGAAAGCCCTGTCGACATTACTAGCAAAAGTTCACGGAACTTTGTTTGAAAGTTAAGTTCCATAAACCTATCTCTGTGTGGACAAGGCCTTCCATTTATAAGAAATGAACGAACAAAATATGAAAGAACAAACATAAATGCGGTTTAATAATTTTAATTTCCGCCGCCGCGCCGCGCTGACCGCACTGTGTTTGGCGCAATGCGTGAAGTATCCCTACAGTCTTGTAGGCGCTATGCATTTCACGCTGACCGCTGCTGAACACGCACTGTGTTTGACGCAATGCGTGAAGTATTCAAACAGTCTTGTAGGTGCTATGCGATATACGCTGATCGCACTGTGTTTGACGCAATGCGTAAAGTATTCATGCACTCTTGTAGGCGCTAATATGTGTTACATGCCGACCACCGCGCCGAGGGCTTCTCCTTTTCATCTCAAGTCCTCGTCATCATTGCTCTCTGCGCCGCGCTGCCCCGTTGCATAGTCGGCTCGGAGAACAGCGCGGGCTGATTATTGAAATTAATAGACAAAGCAATAGACAAAGGAGACAAAAAGGATTCGGAGGGATCCTATTGGCAGAAGCGGGTGGTTGCAATGGACAAAGGAGGTAGGTAATAGACTAACTAACGGCAACCCATGAGAGACCCGACAGTTAGTCTATCATTTTCCCCCTCATCTATGAGAACCACCCATTTCAACCATAGGATTGCTTTATACCCCCTATGTCTCCTTTGTCTATCAATTTCAATAATCGGGTGGGGTGATCTATAGAGTGGGACAAGCAAATCGCGGGGATCTGTTGGCAACGCGGAGCCCTCACTCCCGATTTCCAAAGATTATCCTCCACATCTTCTCCAACGGACTGACCCGGGTCTTTCGACCATGCATTCAGGTGTTTCAAAATCTCCGCTGCTATTTTATTCTTTGAAGAGAAACAAGCCGACCTGTAGCTTGACATTTTTGTAGAATATTATTCTGCTCACAGGATGAGGAATTTTTCAATGAATTACATTGATTAGTTTTCCACAGAAAAAATGAACGACAGTAGAGTCTCGATTATCCGCGATAATTTTGACCGGAGACACCGCGAATAATCGAAAATCGCGGATAATCCGAATCCACGCAAGACGACCGGACAAAGTCATCGGAAAGACTGGATTTTAAAGGAATCAGTAAAGATACTTACCATGCATTAGAAAAGAATATAATTATTAACTAAGGATCAATAAACGTTACCTGTTAAACAAATTAAACTTTACTTCTTGAAGAATTTCTTGATGGAAGATTGAGTCATGGATTTGCACCTTTTTTCCACAGACCGCGGATAACCCGAATCGCGGATAACCGAAACGCGGATAATAAAAAAAAATGAACTACTGTAGAGTCTCGATTATCCGCGATAATTTGGACCGGAGATACCGCGGATAATCCGAATCCACGCAAGACGACCGGAAAAAGTCATCGGAAAGACTGTATTTTGAAGGAATCAGTAAAGACACTTACCATGCATTAGAAAATAATATAATTATTAACTAAGAATCAATAAACGTTACCTGTTAAGCAAATTAAACTTTACTTCTTAAAGAATTTCTTGATGGAAGATTGAGTCACGGATTTGAACCCTTCTTCCACAGACCGCGGATAATCCGAATCGCGGATAACCGAGGCGCGGATAATCGAAACTCTTCTGTTTATTACAGGAAATCTGCAACGACGGAGATTCGTGGTTTCGGGCCTCGGTCATCGATATGTAGCACATACCTAGGTAATACTTCAGATGCGAGGCCGGTGTCAACGCACCTGGATGTATAACAATTACTGCTCAAAAGCTTCCTGTATTGCATGGGCAAAAATTGAAGGCGCACAGAGATTTTGCATTTCACGTTAAGCCTAGGGTATGGCAAACCTCGGTCAACTCTCCAAAGTTATATACATTTTCCAATTTTATATTTTGACTTCAACGTATAATTATGTCACTCAAGGAGCCTCACCGGCCTTCATCTCCACTAAACTAAAGTTAATATTTTCAAAGCTCCTCGAATATTCCCGGGACATGGAGCATGTTCATTCTTATTCTCTCAGTCACCTTACCGCTTCACCAGTCCTCTCCTCTCCTCTTCTCGCTCGCACAGTCGCATGCCACGACTTATGAGGTGCTCGTTGCATACTCGCTTATTTGAAGGAGTTTTGTGAGTTCCGGAGAGAAATGTGCGGAACCCTACCCAGAACAGCGTACAGCAGCGTGTCGTATAAGAAAGACCATTGGGAAGAAGAATTTCCTCGGTAAACAATCTTCCCTATCAATTAACGAGTGAAAAACGCGTTTTCATTTTAAAGGCACATGGGTGTAAAATTGAAAGTCTTCAACTTGAGAATGTGCCTGGATAAATCCTGTGTACTGTCTAGAATTACGATAATTTTTTCATTCAGTCATTTTTATTCGTGCACTTTTATTCACAGTATTTAACACCCCCCCCCTCCCCTCATTCAAAAAAGTTCAGATCTTAAAATTTTTGATTGATTTTAATTTTTATTAGATTTTCATTTTAGATATTATGTTTCATGAAATTTTGCCACCCTGTGCAAACCTCATGAGTGAGAGGGGCTGCGTGGAGGACCAAAAAGGTTTTAAACGTTGAGAACATACATTTTAACGTTTTAGAGCTGACTGCAGATAGCAACTGATAATGACAATAGGTTAAACCTGAGCATCACCTGAGCATTTAGATTTAACAAATGAAGCCCTTATTGATCGTATCGTTGGAGGAATCTCCGTGAAAAAAAGGTCAGACTTTACTTATGTACTGATGGGAGGGAAAATTTAGGATTGTAATTTTTTAACTCGTATGAATCGCGCATTATTGATACAAAACGCCAAGCATGTTTACAGCGGGAAAACATTTACACGTAATGAATGCAGTTGTTGCTAAATTTTACTATCATGAAAGCTATTTTTCCTATTCCCAAATGTTATTTCCTGTAGAAAAGTGACACGATGGCGAAGTACCCAAACCGCCTCCCTATTTCCGCTTCCGGTGTTGGAGACTTCCTATCGTACTTTCCAGTTCCGCCGGAAAACTATTCACCGTCGTCCATTAAGAATTCCCGAGATTTTTCTTCGATAATTGAAGATTACGCTGGGAAAATTCCAAGGAATTAAGTTGATTCATTTACCATCTAAAAATTGAAACAGTAGGGGAGATCTGGAAACACCGCACACGGGATACGTGGTTTAGGACTTACACCGTCGGAATGGGTTTCCGTTTCCTATCATCGCCACCGTTTAGAGTTTTCTCGCGGAGTGTTTCTGTTAAATAATGTACGGGTTTTTTACTGATATTTTCTTTTAGGTAGTTAGGTTGTAGGGTAAGTGAGGGCTGAGGAGGAACGGAGAAAGTGTCGAGAAAAGGCCGCCATTCAATACGAAGTCGATTGGCCGGCCGCGGGCCGCGCGGGATTGTGGGAAATCAATGGTCTCGCCGCCATCTTGTGTAAGAGAGGCGTCTGCCTGCACCCTGCAGTTCGGGAGATAAGTAATTTCGGGCTGCGGATTCGGTCGGTGATTCAGTGTTCAAATCCGTTCGGTTCTGGCTCCGATTCGTTTTTTCGTCGGCCGTAAGGAGCAAGCCCTCCTCGGAGCCTCAGTGGTGTCTCATCTCGGGGCCGAAGGTTTAACGCCGCCAATTCGCCTCGCTCCTCGGAGTTTGTTTCGTAGCTTAATCCTGTTTATAAAGCACGTGCGCACCTACATGATTGGCTTCCCAAATTAAATTATTCTAATTGGATCCGAGAGTTTGCGGAGCCGAGTTTTTATATAGTGGAAAATGTCGCTTTGAGCCCCATTTCGGGTCCGCGCTCCGAGGCCTAAATTGCGTTGCGGTGCGAGCTTTTACTGACTGACTCCGGACTCGGCTCTCGTAAGCTCCCTCTATCACCACACCCAGACCAAAGTTGTGGCCCGCACTGGCTCTCGCTGTTCGGGATCTCTACTCGGCCCCGTCACTCTTTCTGTTCGCCCCTCTTCGTCAGTGCTAGTGACTTTTTGCTCGTACATCGGTGCCCGATGGACTCATGATTGTGTCTTAGTTAAAGTTTCCAGCTCCGAAGGGTCATCTACCCTTGTCAAAACGGCGAAAACAACGGGTCGATTCAGATAATACAGGCTCGGAGCCCTCCGGGGTAGGTAGGCCCTCATCATGGCTTGTTGCCTGTCGGAAGAGGCCAAGGAACAGAAACGAATCAATCAAGAAATAGAACGTCAACTTCGGAGGGATAAACGGGATGCTCGCCGTGAACTCAAACTTCTCTTGCTCGGTAAGTCTGTCCATTATCAGCTCATCTCTTACCCAGCTACCTAACCTCTAAACTTCTTATCCAGAACTATACTTATCTATACTTCTTGTCCTTCTTTTTATCCAATCGCCCAGTCGCTTCCTCATTTATTCGGGAGCTTCATGTCTCTTCGACTCCAGCTTTTATGGTGGTTCTTTATTGTCAAGACAACCGTGGTCAGGCAGGTTACTGTCAAATATCCTGACACTGCATTGTTCCGTCTGGGGCTCCCTGTCGCAGCTAATTATGTCTCGAGGCCATTTCCATGGGCTTCAGAATGTATTTGTTTCTGCCCAAACCAAAAGATTTGCAAAGCATTGTCCTTCTGTATGTTTAGTGATAAGGTAATGAAGATCCGTAGCCTTATCAGCTGTGGCTGTTAGCGCCCATTGGTTTTACTCTCTCACCTGAGCGGTTGTTTTCATGAATTTATGAATTTGCTCGAATTACATTTCAAACCATTATTGTTCACCATTGGTCTGTGATTATGTCAGCTAAACTATCGTGGGTATGCACTATTCTGAAAGTGTTGCCCAGGATTGGCTGTGGCTCCCAGTATTTGAAATGTGCCACATAACGAAACTCTTCCACAATGTATACTTTGTAATCTGAAGATCTTAGATTGTCATCTTCCAAGAGCACCGTAGCTAACTGTCTTTAGAACGGTCTTCCTTTTCAACATTCTTCGGTTTACCATTCAACAAATTGAGGTTATGAAAAGTAGGCTGATAGCGGCTCCAGTCTAGTTGATGACAACTGACGTCAGCTTAGTTCTGGTGTTGAGCTTCCTTAGCTCTTTTCTTGCAACAACATCTAAGCATTGAGTGTACCAAAAAGTGTTCTGCAGTTATTGTTACATTTTTACAGAACATAGAGCATTTACTAGGCTTTGTGACGATTAAAAAAGTGCAATTGTGCATAAAAGCAACAGTCTGTCCGGCCACAGATAATTAATCAACTTGAAGTGATAGGTCTATTACATAGTTATATTATTATCTAAGAACAGGAATGTAGTTAATTATGATTTTTTATGATTCTTTTGTTAATTATCGTATGATTGGTCAAGAGTCCTTAGTCCGATGAGCTTCGTCATCCTCAAAATTTAACCCGCTCCTTGCTCTTTACTTACAGGGCTATTGAAAATATTTTAACTTTTCTCCTATGCCACAATGATTCAGTCGTAGGTAATGTTCTCATCGAAAATGTGCTCACAATTTTCTTTTATCTTACAATGTGTAACTTGTAATCATTAGGGAAATTGCGTCATGAAGTCATTGTATGTATCATTGTGAAGCTCAAGGATATTTATTGTCTACTGGTATCATTCAGGCTGCATCAGATTGATAGTTAGGTTTTAGTCGCCTCAATTAACCTTTTTTGAATTTCATAGAATTATATTGTCGTATTTAAATGTCTACATTCATTAATATTGGCATACTTTGAGCTTTCTAATCGGAGAGTTCTCAAATTTCTAAATGTTTTAATATGGTATAAGCTTTTCACACTCGGGAATATTTCATCATTGGTGTCAAGTTTTACCTTCAGCTTTTCAGTCAAAATTCTGGGAAAAAGAAGTGGATTTGAGAAACTGATTGAATTCCACCCCCAACTTTTCTTGTTTGCTTTGCCCTTGTCAACCAAATCATCAAAGTAGGTGGTTCCACCACTGGTTCGTGTTAGTGGTTCAACTTACTCGGGCCTTCTTTTTATCGTCAGAGTTTTGTTAAACTAACATAGCTTAGAGCTGCTGCATTATGTCCTTCTTTGATTTATTAAGAAACTATCATAGTCCCTGTGTACCATTGTTGATAGTGGCTAATACAACAGTTCTAATCTAAGATGAAACCTCTCTATTACGTTTCACGGATTATGTTAAATTATCAGATGAGGGTTGTCCCTACCACCCAATATTCATCAGCATTCAGCATCAAAAAACTTTCCGCCTTCATGTAAAGCGTGAGGAGTAGAATATCTGCATGCAGTCCCTGAATGATGTGTTGATACTTGAGAATTTAAACATGCCTACCACTGGAAAATGACTTGCCGTTGTTTTTGTCCATGAATGAATTTAAATAGTTACACCTATGAGGCGCATTGTTGAAGTCCACATGATACAGCGCTGAGTAATCCGATGGTTCGCTGAGTTCCGCAAAAGTGTCGTTCAACGCCTGCTGGAATTATTCAATAATTAGCCATCTTGTTGGCAAACTTGTGGAGCTTGCCGAGTTGCTGACCTACGCTCCTTTCTAAAAAGTCTACGCCTTCACTAAGCAGATGAATTTAAATGGCAGACTTCTGTACTTCTACTGACCTCAATTTTTGACTTCAGCAGCACTTCTTTAAAGTTCAAATGGCTCTTTCATCTGTTCAAAGACTACTCGAAGAATTACTTCGTTTTTGTCCTTTAACTTGCCATGTGAGTGATGCATTCATACAATTTCTGATCTGTTCGATGATTTTGTCGCATATGGCGTCAAACTTTTTATTTCTGCCTGCAATGATCGACGATCAAATCTTTGCTAGGTACAACAAGCATTATAGTCGATTTTGAAGGAAGATTAGAAGTTACTGTGGGCTAGTCTACCTAAGTTCTCTTGAGCGCTGCATGTGGAAATGAGAATCTAGGTGTAATTTTTGAATTAGTCTCCCTCATCAACTCCACTCACTATTTCCAAGGATTGAAGTGATCAAACCCTATAGTCATACACTCATTAATATCTTCAAGTCTTTTCAAGATAGGTCATGTGAAACTTGTTATTTAGAGCATACTTACAGACAAACCAAACTTAGTTGCATTTTATCAGTGTTATTCTGTTAGAACTTTGAAGTACTTGAACAGTCAGGGAAAACCTGTGAGTGTTGAAGAATTTTACTAAACTGTCATTACCTAGTAAGGAAATTTTATCATTGAACCTTGAAAGTTTAGGTTTTCTGTAATGAACCACTAAGTAGCAAGGATCAGTGTTTGAATCCGACAGGCTGAGAACACATCATAGGAAACTTTTGGTCACTCAGGTGTTTGGCGGCATAAATCAGGCCAACACCTCGCGCCAGGTTAGAGGTTGGGTATCATTATCATTTTGAGAGAGGGAGAGAGACAGTCGTTGGAGGAGATTTTACTTTTTAATTCTTTTTTTTTCTCGCTCTATTTCGAGTAAAAGCGAGGGTAACCTACAAATTAGATGAGAAATAATTCCAAAACCTTCCAATCAGTACATAAACTTGTAGATGCCCAAAAAACCAAAACAAATGTTGATAAAAGCAGGATCCCCTCCTCCCGAAGGATCATACAAAGATCCTTTAATAATTTAGTAATCGTACCAAAAAGCACTCATAATAACGCGAAGACAATCAGAAATTGAGGGTTCTTTAAAGCATGGGACCCGAAATCGAAAAATCTGTGAATTTTTCTAGCCAATTGGTGCTGAAAACGCGGAAATCCCCCTCCCCCCTCCTCTCCACCCTCTGCTCCAGGCTCCAGAGCCATATTATTGAAAAAAATTCGTGGTGCGTTTTGACTTGGCTTGAAATAGTCAGGCATTAGATGAATCCGTCTGTCGATTTTATTCGAAAAATTAATCATTTGTAAACTTATAAAGAAACAGCAGGGTGTCTAGCATCAGGAAAAACCGGAAAATATCAGGAAGTTTGGCTGATCAGGAAAATCGGAGAATCGGACGCCTTTTCAGAAAATTTTCTTACGCAAATCTCCTCAGCGGAGAAAGTCTTACTGCTATTTTCCTACCCTGCCAGGAGTCGAGAAAAATCAAGAATTTTTTATAAAATATCAGGATTTTTCAAAATTAAAAAATACTAGACACCCTGAACAGTGGCGTAGCGTGGATTGCGATGTATCGATTGTTCTGCCGTTTAAATCTATGGTAACGAATCTATTATTAAGGTGTTCGCTGCGAACACCCTGTTTATCGATCGTTTTCCATGGATTCAAATGGCAGATCAATCGATATATCGCAAAGCACGCCACGCCACTGTAAAGAAACTAAGAATTCTAGGTATCTTGACAGGGCGTCTGTCGTCAGTAAAAATCGAAAAATATCAGGGAATTCCATGTCATCGAGAAACCTGTCGTTGATTAGGGAATTCCGAGTGCATCAAGCATTTTCTAATTACTTGCAGTTTATCACATGCAGGGGTGGAATATTTGATTCAATTAATCGAATAAGTTGGTTTTCTAAATCTAACTGGTTACAATTTACTCGCGCGAAAGATAAAAAAATTTCATTTAAAATATTAGGAAAGTCCAAAACAAAACTTGAGTCGACACATTCTGCATTGTCTGCATGATTAAAATTGGATTGATCGAAGGATTGTTGTTCCGAGGGAATGGGATACATACTGCAGTGCTAAGGAAAAACGTCGTATGAACCTTTAGGCGTTGCCAAATTCCCTCTGATAAAATACGAATTTATTGGGGAAATTGTGTATATTTTTCTTCCAATTTTTCAGACTATTTTGTTCGCAATTTAATCTAAAATATCTGAAAATGTCAAGGAAAAATATGCATAAATTTCGTCACAAATACATGTTTTATCGGGGGAAATTTGGCAACTCTCGGATGTTCATACGGCGTTTTTCCTTAGCACGGCAGAATACCTAGAAAAGAGGGAATGTTAATGAGAAAGTCTATATTTTCGATTTTAACTCCCCTGTCACTTTTGATCGGACGGCAGTGCCCAGGGCCGGATTTACCTACTTGCCGCCCATGGGCCGCCTGTATTTTGCCGTCCCCTTCTCATTCGTCTTGAAACATCAATAAAAACCATCAATTGAACGTGCTAGCGGGGGAGGGGTGCATGAGACGCGTTTACTCGTGTTGAACACATTTTTTGGGAAAGCCCTGTCAACACTACTATAGCAAAAGTTCACGGAACTTTGCGCGAAAGTTCAGTTCCGTAAACCTATCTCTGCGTGGACAAGGTCTTCCATTTACAGGAAAGGAACGAAACAATTATGAAAGAGCA